CCCCCCCCCCCCCAAAACCCCCCCCCCCCCCCCCCCCCCCACACACTTTCCAAATTATTTCCCCTTTTATTCTATTCTATTTTCTGTCCCCTACCACACACCACACACACACATATCCCCCTCCCCCTCCCTTATCCCCTTTTATTCCTCCCACTGCCTCACCCCCCAGATACTAACACCGTCTGGTTCCAGATTAGTAACACTGAACCAGGTCAGTATAGGGGAAACTTTCCCAGACTTTTTGAGAAGTTGTGTTGCCTACATTTATTACAGGGAGTATGCAGCTTGTGACTTCAGGAGTGCATAAAACCGTTTTAATGGTTGTGAGGGGCCACAGTGAGGCGCCCCTCCCCTTCTCTCATATCCTCCCCGATAGCAACCCCTATTACAGATAAACTCTTCATGTCTATCCTCCGTTTAAATCTAATTATCGTCTGTTGAGCATGACAAGTATTTCTAAATTTGCAGTATTAATAAATGGGTTGTGCCTGTGTATTCTATATGCGGCGTTTGGGGAAGAAAGGAGTCTCTTGTTCTGTGTAGGTAGGTAGGAGTAATGCGCTGACCTTGTCTTTTTCATTTTAATTACCCGGTCACATTTAATGCTCAATACAAAACAACTTGCATGTCATCTAGAAATAAATCAGCACACTATTTCACCTGACTTCACAGAGCTTGTCCCTGCCCAGGTGACGGTACAATGTGTACTATGACGCCTTGTCACAGGTCAGCAGCAGTACCTATATGTAGACTGATGCCTTGTCACAGGTCAGCAGCAGTACCTATATGTAGACTACTGCAGGTATCGTAAAGGTGATTCTTCACTCGTTAATAATATATTGATATGTTCCTGTTGTTATTGGTATTTACCTGTCTATACAGGTATATCATACAATTTACCTGTTTATAAAGGTATAGTATTTACCTGTCTATACAGGTATATCATACAATTTACCTGTTTATAAAGGTATAGTATTTACCTGTCTATACAGGAATATCATTAACCTACCTTTACAATATCTCATACAATTTACCTGTTTATAAAGGTATAGTATTTACCTGTCTATACAGGTATATCATTAACCTACCTTTACAATATCTCATACAATTTACCTGTTTATAAAGGTATGGTATTTACCTGTCTATACAGGTATATCATTAACCTACCTTTACAATACCTCATACAATTTACCTGTTTATAAAGGTATAGTATTTACCTGTCTAAACAGAAATATCATTATACTACATACAATTTAGCTGTTTTTATATAATAAATAATGTTCTAATGCTCATTAGAATAACTTTCATACTTGTTGGATAATGAATTAATATTGGTATTGCTTTTAAATTTGTTGATATCTCTACTATATCTTATTTATTGCAAACCCCCACCATTGTTTTGATGAGTTTTGTATTATTTAATAGAAGACTTGAAAACATACATGGTGTTCGTTTTCCTCAAAATGTGGTAAAAAATGCTAATTATTGAAGAAATGATGTTGGGCCTTGATGCTGCGAAAAAAAATCCCTACTTAAAATCCAATCTCTACATTTTTTCCAAAAACATCACATGTAGGATAAGTTTATAATGTTGTTTAGGCGATAGTGTTTATGTAGCTGATAATGTTGTCTAATTTATTTTATTGTATACCGTTTGGTTCTGCTTTCCTGTGATTGGCAGAAACATGGCTCAGAGATTTGTATAAAATACGTTTATGACCTTCGACTCTGATGAAGACCTGTGGTGAAGTCAACAATACAGTCCTGTTACCTAGACTGAAAACTGCAACATAGAATTTAAGATTGAATGACATTTTCACCAATTGGAAAGCTGAGGGTCAAATCATCAGACGGTAAACAACAGCAGACAGTACTGTAGAAATGTCTAATTGTTGGGATTGTCTCCAGTAGACAAATCTGTATGTCGCAAGGACATGCTGTCAATAAATGTATTATATGGCATATTTAACTCATTCACCCTTGAAGACACATTTGAACTCTTCCAATTCAAAGGTTGGATTAGTCCATTATAAAATTTCAGGGGTGAATGAGTTAATACAGGACTTTCCCATTTTGCACAACAAACTGTACTGTCCAATACCCTCTGTCCACTTAGAATCTACATTTCAGTCTTATTTAAGGTACAGTAACCTCTCTCTGCACCTTGGACAGAAGAGAAGGTCTAAATATGCTTTTAAATTGTTAAAAGTTACCTTAAAAAATCCTTGAAAAGAGGAAATGTGTAAAACGATGGTAAATTGACGTGCACGACTGAAGTGTCTGACGATCGGGTCTTTGAGTGCGTTGGTGTTATCTGTTGGAGTCAATATAACAACCACAATGAAGCTAATAGAGAAATTCTGCTTTCTCTGCTAACTCAGCCTCCATTTTTTATTCCACTTCATTCAATTTAATTGCCAGCAAGTGTCCTTCCCTATTGAGGAGACTGTTGATGGCCGCATTTCCCGGGAACAGTCGCAAGGGTGTTAGAACCCAATACCTCCACTAGCCCTCAGCTGCTTGCTTTGGTGTTGTTAGGGAAAATAATTTGTTTCTCCCATATATTCTCGCATTCACTCAGAATTGTAAATGCTTTTGCACCATAACATGTTAAAAAAGCTGTAATTCTATTATTAGATGATAAGAAAGTTGAGTCGATAAAGCTACTGTCTTCTCTAAAGTGTCGACCTGGGACGCCATATAATTATCTATCAATTGTGTTTGCTGGAGCAAAGCTGGAGTCTACATCTCGTGTCTGCAGGCAAATTGTTAGACTCTTCTATCTCAGTCTCCCTCACAAATCTTCATGCCTCTCTTTCACCTCTCACGCTTTATCATGCCTCTCTCTCTCTCTCATCTCTGATACTCTCTCACACTTCTCTCACCTCTCACACTTTCTCATGCCTCTCTCTCTCTCTCATCTCTGACACTCTCTCCCACTTCTCTCACCTCTCACACTTTCTCATGCCTGCTCCCTCTCTCATCTCTGACACTCTCTCACACTTCCCTCACCTCTCACACTCTCTCATGCCTCTCTCTCTCTCTCATCTCCGATACTCTCTCACACTTCTCTCACCTCTCACACTCTCTCATGCCTCTCACTCACACTCTCTCATGCCTATCTTACCTCTCACTCTATCATGCCTATTTCACACTTGCATTCTCATCTCTCAATGACTTTTAGACCCCTTTTTCTCACACACACAAACGTTATGTACCTGACCAACACACACACTCACTTTTTCTCTCTCTCTTTTTGAGACTCTAAATGATTCCGCTTTTATGCAATGTATCAGGGTATATCTAGTTCTCTGGTAAAACTCTGGTAAAACTCAACAATAAGAATATCAGCACAGGAATGACTATTTAGGATTAAAATATTAATAATTAAACTCAAAAATATCTGTAAGACATGAATGTCCGGGTTCTGATTCAAATCAGTATCACTGTCTTTAACAAACTTCCATCAATGGTAAATAGTGCCCATGGCCTTGATCTTCGAAACCAGAAATATGGTCTTGTTCAATGTATTCTCATACTTGACCTTAACATTGATCCGAATCTGTTAAGAAATGAAGTCCCCAGATCAATGACACAAACCTGGAACAGAACATGATGGGCTGGACATGTATAACACTATATATCATCCCTCCATGGTGAGGGAGCATGAACATGTGCTTGAGTTGTATTGTGTGGTATTTTTGAAAGAAAATTTTAATAAAATACCTAGTTATGTAATTAATCCTGCATGTTTTCTACCTTTATGTATAACTGGATTTAGCTTAAATCCCTTAGAAAAAACAACTTTACAAGCACCTGCAGACTATAACTTTTACTGAACACAGGACCTCCAGTTTTAATCTCTGTGATATTCAGCCGAGATTCAACAACCCATGACTTGGCAGTTAAATGTGCTAAACCACCAATCCCTCCTCTAATGCCACATTCATTCCAGGAACCAAACTTAGAAAGGGGTCTCCCTGTCCCTAACTCGTTACTCATCACCTCAAAGACACAACTCAACTAAGTTACTTACCCATCAACTCAACACTCAACAAATACACACTGGGCTAGACAAGGCTCACCCTAGTCAGTATACAGTTTAGGTTTTTTGGGAGCTCCACAGAGTGTATAGCACACAAATCTTCTCTTCGCCTGTTACAAAATCAATACATTGTGTGTGTGGGTTATCTCCCCTTGGTCTACAGCAGACAGTGTCCAGTGCATGTATACCTATACAGCAGCACACTTGTAAAGCTTGAATCCTTGAGGAGAAATCAATAGCTAGGAGCCAGATCAAAGGCGTGTAGTATATATGAGCATTACATGATGTCAAACACAGGAGGATGTGTACACATAGCATGCTCCACAAGACAGGCACACATGAATAGGATCAAAATAAAACACAGTTAGCAGTGGTAGAAATTTTATGATGGAGAACAAAGCTTTGTTTTAACATAACACATTTCATGTCTGAGTTAGGTAAACACTGTTTGCTAAATCACAAATCATCATCCGGTATCAAAAATTGCCTAAGCCGTTATATACAGAGAAACTGCAACATTTACAGCATCTTATCACAGAAATATTATACGGAAACACTGTTACATCTACAAGGATTTATCACAGAAATGTTATACAGAAACACTTTTACATCTACAGGGATTTATCACAAAAATACACTACAGAGAAACTGTTATATCTAAAGGAACTTATCACAGAAATACGCTACAGAGAAACTGTTATATCTAAAGGAACTTATCACAGAAATACGCTACAGAGAAACTGTTATTTCTAACGGAACTTATCACAGAAATACGCTACAGAGAAACTGTTATATCTAAAGGAACTTATCACAGAAATACGCTACAGAGAAACTGTTATATCTAAAGGAACTTATCACAGAAATACGCTACAGAGAAACTGTTATATCTAAAGGAACTTATCACAGAAATACGCTACAGAGAAACTGTTATATCTAAAGGAACTTATCACAGAAATACGCTACAGAGAAACTGTTATATCTAAAGGAACTTATCACAGAAATACGCTACAGAGAAACTGTTATATCTAAAGGAACTTATCACAGAAATACGCTACAGAGAAACTGTTATATCTAAAGGAACTTATCACAGAAATACGCTACAGAGAAACTGTTATATCTAAAGGAACTTATCACAAAAATACGCTACAGAGAAACTGTTATATCTAAAGGAACTTATCACAGAAATACGCTACAGAGAAACTGTTATATCTAAAGGAACTTATCACAAAAATACGCTACAGAGAAACTGTTATATCTAAAGG